AGCCCCTGCCGCTGTGTCACCCCAAAACAGCCGTTTCACAAGCCACGGGAAATGTCCTGGGGAGAGCCAGGAGCTGGCTTCATGGCATCTTCATGCCTGACCCCGCTGATGACAAAGGAGTTCCTAGGTGCCCCCACACCCCGACAGCTCTCCCCACCCTCTTGTACTGGGATCTGCAGCGCACCCAGCTATGGATACAGGAAGTAGCGAGGTCCCGTGCCCGCCCCCCGCCTCGCCCCAGCACCCCGCACCCGCCTTCCAGCAACTTCCTGAGCTGCGTCTCCTTCTTGGCGATCTCATTCAGGAAGAGTTTGGAGTTGAGGTGGCCGATTTTGGGCGGGGGCAGGCTGCCACCTGTACAGTTCTGGGTCCTGTTTGGGACCGCAGGCAGAGAGGAGAGGCGTGAGCGACAAAGCACACGCAGGGGAGGGTCAGGAAGCCCCCACGCTCCTTCCCTGCACCAAACCCCCTCCCCAGGGAGGCAGCACTGAGGGCAGTGGGGAGCCAGCCCTCTCCAACGGGCCAGTCCCTTCCCGGCAGGACCTTCCCCATCCAGCCTTGCTGTAAATGTCCTGTGCCAACACGCCCCTCCCGCAGCCCCTGTATCCCCCCGCATCGCCACCCCAGCTCGCTCCGGCTCTGCTAGCGCTGGCTTTAACCCCGAGCCCTGCAGGGAGGAGAAGGAGAGCAGAGCTGGACTGAGTCCTGCACCCCAACCCGGCTGGTCCCATCCTGGCTGGGGTGCTGGGTCCCAGCTCTGCTGTTCCACAAACACACCTCTATGCTTCCCCTAGTCCAAGGGGAGGACTTGATTCAATGCCCCCAGGAGGGGATTTTTCATCCTCCCAGACAGAGAGAGAAACTGAGGCATGGAGCATGCCTCTCTGAGGCCCTGCAGCATCCCTGGCCCTGCTCCTCCTCCAGACATCGTGCTGCTGCTACCCCCGCAACAGCCCCCCTTCACCCCCAAACATGCCTGCCCTGCCATGCTTACCTGTCCATTAAGATTTTCACAGACTTGGTGTTCTAGGAGGGGAAGGAGAAGCCCTGGTCAGTAAGGACAGTCCCTGCCCCAGCAGCCACCTCCCCTTTTGGTGTCACCTTCTGCAGCCCCCCAGGAGGGGACAGGCTGCCCAAGGGTGCCAAGCCCCCTCTCCCCCCCAGCACAGGATGCCACAACCCGGTCTCCAGCTGCAGCATCTCCTCGTAGGAGGCCAGCACTGAGCCTGCCCCGCTCCTCTCCCCTTCCCCCGCTGCTGAGCCCTCCAGAGGCACCAGCAGGTCCCCATCAGTGCCCCCAGCCCACTCTGCAACACTCCCTACACAACCAGGCCTTCCCCCACCCCTAGCACCGGCAGCCCATCTCACCTTCATGAAGTTGATGTCCTCGGTTTTGTCAAACATGACCTGGACAGAGCTGAGAAGCTTCTTGGCCTCCTGCATGCGCTCGTTGAGGTGGAGGACCTGGGCCGCGTTCTCATTGCAGAACTTGGCCTGGGCCTTGTCCAGGATCTCCATGGTCTTCCGCAAGTCCTCATCCAAGATCTGGTGCATCTTCTCGTACTGCAGGCGCACCTCGTCCTTCAGCTGGCTCACCTTCTCCTGGGGGAGAGGAGCAGGGTCAGCCCCTCTGCGCCCTCCAACCTCCGCTGTGATGCCCCAGGACATCGGCTGCGACCCGAGAGCTGCACCACAGCTCTGCTCTCCTGCAACGCCCACACAGACCAAACCCTGTGGTCAGCCGCCACGTGCCGGAGACCCAACAGGGCCACTGTGGAGGCTTGGCTAATCCAGCAGATCCCCTGGACCTACCTCCTGGGGTCTAGGTGGGGATCGCCTCCGGAGAGCTAATGCCAAGCAACAATCTGCCGCACCGCTGAGGCAGGTGTGCTCCCTTGAAAAACCCTGCCCATCCCCATCCCCATCCCCATTCCCATCCTTGTCCTCTTCCCTGTCCTCATCCCCTCCCCAGGCTGGGGTCACATCATGCTCCAGAGCCCTTCCCTCCACGCTCTGGAAGGCTGAGGGGCTTTAAGGACCACGAGCCGATCTTATTTTACCTGTGTCCCAGCAAAACACTCGCTTGCATCTTTTCCACCTCCTGCATATTTCAGCAGTTTATTTGGGGATCTCCCATCTCCAGACCCTCCCCTCCCACTCGGGATGAAGTGGTGGCCCAGGAAAGGTGCTGAACTGAGGCGGGGGGGCCACCTGATATTTAAGACAGCCTCATTCCTTGCCTCCCAACTCACCCCAGGACCCACGAGGCTGTAGGGCAGCCCAAAACACATTTCATCTCCCAAAAGTATGACTGCCAGGACAGGAATGGAGACAGCAGGTCTGGCTGGCCACTCTTCCCCTGTGTGTCCTCCCTCCTCCCTGCCCACCCGGCCCCTATGCCCTGGGAGCCTGTCCCCATCACGCCATGGGGTGACAGTCCCCGGGGCTGGCCGCAGCAGGGTGAAGCACCAGTTACCTCGACCAGCCGCTTGTCCGATTCCAGCTTGTAGAGCTGCTCTTCTATGTCTTGCTCCCGCTCCTCCAGGCGGTCCTGCTGCTTCATCAGCATCTTCTGCAGAGATTAGTGAGAAAAGCAGCCGTCAGAGCCCGGCGGCCACATGCGCCAGGAAGCTTCAGTGCCGCCCGCACCAGCTCTGCCTACACGGTTTGGAAGGGACAGGGCTTTTTCCCAGCAGGATGCCATCGCCAAGCTGAAAGCCCACACAAGGCTGGTGGAGGTGGAAACCTCGCTATTTCAATGGCCATGCAGAGGTGCCGTATGTGCCGGGCTGCCTTATCAGCTGGGGACCTTGATTTGGCTCCCCTGGATGGGGGCAGCCCCTTGCCAAGCCCTGGGGACCCTGGAAGGGACACGGAGAGGCTCATCTCCGCCACTGTGTCGACGCCCCTCCCCCATCCCCGGTAGGCTCCCGCGAGACACTGCCACCCCCCTCGCGCCCCCGTACGCCACGCCAAATCCTTTCTCCCTTCCCCGCCTCTGTGACAAGCCCCAGAGCCAGCGTCAGCATAATCGGGAGGGACAGAGAGAGGAGGAACGGGGCCTCCCCCCGCCACGCTGCCAGCCCCCGGCCCCCACTCCTCGGGGCTGGGCCCGGGCCATCAGCCTCGTAACTGGGACAAAGCGTTATCCCCAGCAATCAGCGTGAGCGCCTCGCTCCTGCACGCTTCCCCGGCCAGGATGAAACCCACTGCCCTTGAGAGAAGGGCTCCATCCCTGCGAGCCCTGCGTAGGAGCAGGGCTTCCCAAAACACTCCTCAAAATCAACTCCTCATTTTTTCCCACCATGGTTATCCCAAGGGAAAGCCGCCACACTGGCAGGGTGAGGAAAACAGCTTCGCCTGACACAGAAACGCAGTGTTAGAGACTCTCAACGACAGGGGCGAGATGGGAAGAAACCGGCAGCAAGGATGAATTTCGAGGGGATTATTGCTATTATAAACCGCCACTCGGGGATTTATAATCAAGTAATTAATTCCTGGACGAGGCGGGAGGGGGAGGGTGGCAGAGGCGCTGCCGGGATTAATTGCGTTGCAGGGAAAGGATGTCACCTCCGACTCAA